TCTCACTCTCAGGTTCCTAGTTCCACCATGCTGTTTGCACTCCAGCAGTTTCATCTTGGGCCTCTACCTTTTTCCATCTTGCTCTCAGACGCTAAACTCCAGCATACAGGCCCTACTACGTCCCCATCATTACCAACACCCCTATTCACTCAGCTGAGTTTCCGCTTCCACTCGTGCCTCACCAGCTCTCCCTTGCCTGCAATGAAGGCTCTTGCAGTGATCTATTTGGTGCAACTGGTCATCCAGGCTTAGCTTGTAACTGTTAGTGTTTACAAACAGCTACCACAGTTGAAGATGGGAAGAAACTTCTGGATTCCAGTCCCGGAAATGACGAGGTCCCGCCCCCCCAACCATCATGGTTTTGCAGCCATCCTGATAATGCTGGTGGTTATCTAGCAAAAAGCTGGACCTGGAAATGAGTTGACAAGCCTGAGTTACAAAGTCAGCCTCAGGCGAGCTCTGGTGGCCTAGTGGCAGGAAACTGCACTGCAATCCCAGAGGTGCAAGGTTCAAATCCACCAGATGCTCTGCTGAGCGCCTCCTGTACCAGCCAGATCCAATTTGACGGTACACACATAAAAAACAAACAAACAAAAAAACCAAAAAACAAAGTCAGCCTCAAACCTTGCACCTACAACTTGGTTTGCCTTGAATGTAACATCAAGTCTGAACCGACTCATAGCTGACCCTCCAGTAGGTTTTCAGGGGCTGTAAATCACCCCAGAGGAAATGGCCCGTTTCTTAAGGCCTTAGGGCTGGCAGCGTAACTCCTTACCACTAGACCACCAGAGCTCCCTCTGCTTACTTCCTTTTTTGTTGTTGTATGCCGTGACCCATAGCTGATCCTCAAGCGGGTTTTCAGAGGCAGTTAATCTTTCTGGAGGAGATTGTCCATCCTTCTGCGGAGCTACTAGCAGATTCAAACTGCATTTTTTAGGATTGAAGTGCAGCTTCTTACCACTAGGTCACCACTTGCTTTAGCCTTGTTTAAACACTTTGTTACCCTTACATAGCAGCCTTAGGTAGGAGCTACTATCATAGTCCATAGTAATTGTTATGTGCAGTCAAGTCACCTGTGACTCATAGTGACCCTACGTACAACAGCCTATGTACAACCCTGCTCTATCCTGTGCCAATCTTATTGTCTCTGACACACCAACCCCCATAACACTGGTCACCAAATCCATCCATCCATCTCATCCGGGGTTCTACACTTTTGCACTGCACCTCCACCCTCCCAAGCATGATGTACAAGGACTGGTCCCTCATGGCAACATTCCCAAAGTATATCAGATGAAACTTCACAATCCTTGCCTCCAATGGGCAGCCTGGTCTCAACCTCTCAAGGACAAACCTGTTTGTTCTCCTAGCAGTCCATGGTATATTCAATAAACTTCTCCAGCACCACAGCTCAAAGGCATCAATTCTCCTGTCATCCCTAGTCATTGTCCAGCTCTCTGATGCACAGCAGGTAACTGCAGATGACCAGGCGTGCCTTAGTCTTTAGACTGACATCATTGCTCTTCAGTACTTTGGCAAGGTCTCTGACAGCAGACTTTCCCAATGCAATTCATCTTTTCATTTCCTGGCTGCTGGTATCACGAGTGTTGACTGTGGAGCCAAGCAAACTAAAGCTGTTAACAATCTCAGTCTCTTCACCATCAAAATAGTGCCAACTGGCCAAGTGGTAAGAACCTTTTTCTTGATGTTGATCTTCAATTCATATTGAAGGCTGTAATCCTTGACCTTCTGCAAGAAGTGCTTCAATTCCTACTGTTTTCAGCAAGCAGAGTTATGTCATCTGCATTAAGATTGTTGATCAATCTTCTTCCAATCCTGATGTCACATTTCTCCTCATAGAGCCCAGTCTTCTGGATAATCTGTTCTACATGTAGATTGAAAAGGTGTGGAGATAAGACACATCGCTGGTATACACCCTTTCCAATTTTGAACCATGCAGTGTCTCCTTGCTCTGACAACTACCTCCTGGTCCAAGGATAGGTTTCACATTAAGCATAATCAAGTGTTCTGGGATTCCCATTCTTCTCAGTTAGTTTGTTGTGATCCACACAAACACCTTTGCATAGTCAATGAAACACAGACATTCCTCTGGTATTCCTTGCTTTTAGCCAAGACCCATCTAACATTAGCTATATCCCTAGTACCACGGCCTCTTTTAACCCCACCAGCCTGCACTTCAGGCAGTTCTGTTGATGTGCCGTTCCAGTCGTTTTTGGATAGTTTTCAGCAGAATCTTGCTTGCATGTCATATCAATGATATTGTTTGATAATTTCCACATTCTATTGTGTCACCTTTATTTGGAAAAGGAACAAATATAGATCTCATCCAGTCAGTTAGCCAGGTGGTTGTCCTCCAGATTTCTTGGCACAACTTGGTGAGCTCATCCAGGGCAGAGTGTGTTTGCTGAACTATGTCTACTGGTATGCTATCAATTCCTGGGCCTTGTTTTTTGCCAATTCATTCAGAGGGTATGCACAGAAACCAGATAGATTACATCTGTGGGGGGAAAAAAATCACTGAAAAAGTTCACTTATCAGCTGTAAAAACTAGACCAGGTTCTGACTGTGAATAGACCAACTACTCATATGCAAGTTCAAGCTGAAGCTAAGGAAAATTAAATAACATGGGAACCAAATTTGACCTTGAGTCTATCCTACCTGAATTTCAAAACCATCTCAGGAATAAGTTTGAGGCTTTGAACACTAATGAGTGAAGACTGGATGAGCTGTGGGAGGCTATCAAGCATATTATCTAGGAAAAATGCAAAAGGTCATTACAAAGACAGGGGAATGACCAAAATGGTTGTCAGAAGAGACTCTGAATATTACACTAGAGCACTGAGAAGCCAAAACAAAGGGAAGAAATCAAGATATTAAGGAGTTGAACAGAGGATTTCAAAGGACAACACGGAAAGACAAAGTATTACAATGAAATGTGCAAAGAGCTGTAGTCAGAAAATCAAAGGGGCAGAACTTGCTTGGCCATCAAGCCTCAAGTTGCAATACTTAAGGATGCTTTGGGCAGAATATTAAATGACCCAGGAAGCATTAAAAGAAGATGGAAAGATTATAAAGAGTCATTGCACCAAAAGGAAGTGGCAGACACAGAAGAATTTCATGAAACAACATATGAGCAAGAGCCTGTGGTGGTGAAGGAAGTTCAAGCTGCTCTGAAAGAACTGTCCATAGTAGGGAAAGCTTAAGACAGCTGAGTTGTGGTTCAGTTTTGGGAATTTTGGCTCCTCCAGAGTAACTTTATTGTTGTTGTATTTTTTTTTCTTGTTGTGTACCATCAAATTGGATCCAATGGCACAGAAGGAGAATGCCCCTCCTCCAGTAGAGCATCTGGTGGATTGGACCCTCATGCGTTTGAGATTGCAGTGCAGCTTCTTGCCACTAGGCCACCAGAGCTCCCTTCAGAGTAACTACAAACACCAAGACACACAACTGTGGCCCCAAAAGACTCCTGGGAGTCAAAAGGTCAAAACTTTTTTTTTTTATTACGCCCTCACAAATCTTTTCCCAGGGTCAACTTACTTCCTGGACACCAATGATTCAAATTTATAGCTCTACCTCTAGTTATATTCCTGAATGTGATCAATGTGTTAAAGGACTCCTTCCAAATGTTCTTCCTCATAGTATCTTGGTCAAATATGTGATGGTCATATGGGGCTTTTTTTTTGCTTCATGCCCCTACCTTCCACTCCATATCCCCTAGTTCTAGTAGGTCCTCCAAGAATCTTTCAGATAGCCTCTCTACAGTCACCCTCTGGCGATCTCATTATCCCTAGGAAGTCTAACTCATTTCTCTGCCTGGTTATTAACACTACTCAGATGTCTTTTCCATGGTCATAAAATGCCCTTGGCCCACTTCCAGTGCTTACCTACAAAATGCAGACCAGATATAAATTCTCCAAAGTCCCAGTGATTACTCCTGCTCAAGAGCCCTTTTGTAGGGATTTGCAACCAGGCTTTTCACTTCAGACTTTTAATATTTCATACAGCAATTATGGTGCATTCAAGAACTCAAAGCCCACTGGGAAAAGTCCCCCACCCTAGCCTCCAACTCCATTTGAGGGCCCCAAGACTTAGGGTAGAAGAAGGGGAGGTAATCACCCATCTGAGACTGACCCTAGAAAGTCCCTGTCCTGCCTCATCCTTTTCAGGGGCCACTACCTCTGCTTGTGCATACATATGTATGTATACACACACACACACACACATTATGGCTCTTAGAGTTGGATGGTTTTCAGCAGGGCTTCTACTCAATAGGGGCAAATGGGACAGGGGCAAAAGAGGGGTGGGCTGGGTAAACCCTGAGAAGGAGGCCCTAGCTATGGAACTGCAGGAGGGAAAGGATGGGGGGGCCTCCACTTCATCCATCTTTCAAAGAATCTCCAGTCATTCCCTGGTCCCTTAGCAGCTAGGAATGGCAGGCAGGGGTAGGAAGGCAAGTGTCCAAGGCATGCTTTCCCTTAGGCAACCTCAGGGTCTGCTGATAGAGTTCTAAACAGGGTCTGTGTCCCTGCCTTTGAGAGACTGGGAGTGGGGCTGCATTGCACAAAATACTGTGCGAGGTGAGGGCCCATACACAGAGGCTAGTGGTACCCAGCCAGTTATAGAGAGATTGCATTTTAAAGAACCAAAAACCTCATTCAGAATAATTTTTTAAAAAAATACAATGAATAAAACAAAAAAGATGCCCATACAACATGAGGCAGGTGGGGCAGGCAGGAAGGCAGGCAGAAGAAGCCGCAGACCCAGGGTATCATCACCATCTTGTCTGAGTCCAGATCCCCAGCCTGGGCTAACTCCGGATCCCTGGCTGGTCTTGGGGTAATCGTCCTGGGGGAGGGTATGACGGGGAGGGGAGTAGGCCTGGCCTCAGTGTGGGAGGCTGGAATGGCCATGCTGTCTGCCGGCTGGCAGCTGCCAAGACATAGAAAGAGACGGACAAAGAGACAGACACAGACCAGGTAAAGAAGCGATGAGAGCTTTGTTAGCACCCAGTAGAGAGGCCAATGGGTGAGGTGGCAGGCCAATGGTTGGATGTTGAGCGAAGCAGCAAGGGATATGTGGGCAGGCGAGCATGAGTTAGGCAGGTAGGCAGGCAGCTAGTGGGGGATGGAGTCGCAGGCTGCCCTGTGAGGAGTTTGGCATTCCTCCAGCCACTGCCTCCTGGGGCCTGGGACTGTGGCTTAGTACTCAGCTTAGAACTCGGTGTCCACCACATGGAAAGCTGGCCTGCCTGCAGGGGAAAGCAGAGCAGACGGCTGTTGGTGGGCTAGCAGGTGAACGGGGCAGGGAGGAGGGCTAGAAACTGTATTTACCTGAGTCAGGCATTGATGAAGACCGAAGGCTGGCCTCATTTTGTAGCTGGATCTCCTTTAGTGCAAATATGGAAGTAGCTGTGGGTAGAAGGGAGACAAAAGGTTTCAATAGCCTACGGAGCAATCCAAGACCACTCTTTATGGTCTCACTGGGAACATTAGAAAAAGTAGCTTCTTCTTATCATCTGTCAAGTAATTTCATTCACCAAATGTATCAAGGAAAATGAACTGAAGACCATTTTTTATGTTATCAAGAAACTTAATTTTGTCAAGTATGGCAATGATACTGCCATTACCACCCATAAACTCTTGTGGCTTGGTCGATAGGGAGTTTTGCTGCTAATGCAAAGTCAGTGTCTCTCTAGTGGTTCAAGTCTACCATTTTATAGATGAATGAGATATATAAATGCCTGGGATTTGATGAAAAATAATCAGAGGGAATACAGATAAAACCAAGGACTCACTCCTGAGAATAACCAACCACACAAGGTCAAAAGAGCAGCATTTGCCCCGAGGCAGGAATGGATAAAATAAAAAGATTAATAGAAATTAAAATCACAGAGATGCAAGGAAAAACATTAAATTATGGGTATTGTTAATTATAAAACGAAATGTGAATAAAATGTTGAACGGAGAACCCATTTGCTTTTCAAAACGCACTCAAATTATAATTTTACAAAGTACATTACTATTATATCTATTTTTTTTGCATGTTTGGAAGGTCTCATAAAAGTTGTTACTACTTTTAAAGGAGCTCTGGTGGCCTGGTGGCAAGAGGCTGAATTGCAATCCCAGAGGTATATGGTTCAAATCCACCAGATGCTATGCTGGATAAGGAGGGGCCATCTCCTCCTATTCCAGTCAGATCCAATTTGACGGTACACGCAAAAAAATAATAAAATAAAATGTAAAAAAAAAAGTTGTTACTACTTTTTAATGATAAAACACAATGTTCTACAACTTCAATATACGTAAAAGAGATAGCAGAACAGTGGTTAAAATGATCAGCTGCTGTAGAATGAATACAAGGACCCAAGGGGGTGCTTAATCATAGGTCACACAATTTGCTAGGTGGAGGGAGGAGTAGGTAAGGAAAAGAAAGATTTGGTGTGGAAAACAATGTATATGAACTTTATGAACTCTGTAAGTAAACCAGTATAAAATTTAAAAAAAAATTAAAAATATGATCAGCTCCTGAAATGCTTGCTGCAGAGGGTCAAGGACTGCAGCCTTCAGTATGGATTGAGGCTCAATGTCAAGAAGACAAAGATTCTCAGCACTGTAACAAATGGCAGCATCAGGATGGATGGTGAAGAGATTGAGACTGTTAACAACTTGAGTCCGCTTGGCTCCATGGTCA